TCGTCTATTTTATTACGTAAGCTGCGTGCATTCGCGTAGAAACACTTTACTCTTCCCTGCCTATCCTGCACACCAGTACGCGGCGGTCTAAAGCTGCTCGTAGTGGCTGTCCCTTGCTTGTGATCCCCTGCCCCCCCATCTACAACCCTAAAAAAGGCTCATTTTCCTTCATGATAGCTAATCCGACTGCTACAGCTCCCTCTTTCGAAAAATGTACTCCATCCCTAGCCATCGGACTTCTACAGCGACTCAAAGCCTCCCTAGTGTCCAGAAACACTGCCCCCTCCGCGACACATAACTGTTGGAATGTGTATGGTTACGACTCAGCCGTTGACCTCTCCGTGCCCTTGCCAGATGAAAAGTCTACATTTGCTGATGCATCTTCTTGGTGTTAAGCGTGGCAGAAGCTTCTATATAGTCCATGATTGGGCTTTTCTGCCGAAACTTTTCTCTTAGCTCGTTCAAATTCGTGAGCCGTTTCCTTAATGCAATTAGTCCATAAGTTGTTTGTCTTATTGTATGATGAAGGATCTGCTTTTATGCCATTAGCAAATTTACTAGTTTTAATCATGAGATTTTGATCTACAGTAATCACGAAATAGAAGTAGAATGACCCCATGACAGGTCTATGGTGGACTCTCGTCATAGCCACCATATGTAGGTAGCATTCTTCATCCCGGCTTTCTTAATGTTATCCTGTTCCATGTCTAGTTAGTCTCCCCCCTTTAAATCCTATATGCTTCATAGCCTCTAATCATGTGAGGAACCACATTTTTATTGTTGAAGCATGGACTGTTTGAGTAAGATCTTTAAAACGGGAGTAGATGGGTGAATTGGATGCATGTTACATCTTAATTGTAGGGAGGCAAAAAGGCCTTTTCTTTTATATGTGCCATGGCTGATGTGAGAAATTAAAAGGAAGCCATCCTGTGACTGTTGCATGACTTGCCAAGGTGAAAAAGCTATGACAATATAACAAGTGGCTGATGCTCATGCTTGTGCCTGAACCAGTGCCTCCTTCCAATTATTATTCATATCTCTCACCCTAAATTGATGCACTTTCATTTGGACAGAAGTTTCATACTTTGTGTCTCCGCTCTATTAAGGTAACAGGAGTATAGCCTGGGGTCAGGTCATTGTCTTGCTCAGTTGATCTGCCCAATACTGGACAAGTTCTCAGACAGTTCAGATTCATCATGGAGGTGAGGAAAATTACATGGTGGTATAAAATGCCTCTTGGTTTAAAAATGATCGGTTTTCATCTTCCTATTTCTTGTTTCAGCTGGAAATATTATCCTCCACTAATGAGAAACAAATCCTGCAGTTCAAAAATGTGAGCAGTACATTTATCCCAACAAGCATCTGGTTTTTTTTTTAATTGGATCACAAGTCATGGTGACAGCTGGTGATGATTTGCTCCCTCAGGTAGCAGCAAAGAACACTGTCAGAGAATTGAAAGAACGCATCCATTCTGAAAAGCCTCACTTGTACCTGGACAGGCAAGAAATTCGTCTTGCAAAGAGAGGGAAGGGCCTGGATGAAAAAAAGACATTAGAAGAGCTTGGCATCTTAAGTGGGACAAAGCTGTTCCTGAAGGACCTGGGACCCCAAGTTGGGTATCGCACTGTATTTCTTGCTGAATATGCTGGTCCACTTTTCATATATCTCATCTTCTACATGAGGCCAAGTCTCATCTACAATGCTGAACTGGCTGCTAAGTTTCCTGTCACCACTACCATGAAGTTAGTTGAGTATATCAAACCCCTGTACTTTCCAATTTGAAGTTTTGTAGACCTATTCAAGATGACAACGATTTTGGCTTTGCCCTGCAGCATTGCAGCTGGCTGTTGGTGTGGCCACTACTTGAAACGACTATGGGAAAGTGTGTTTGTGCATAGGTTCTCCCATGCCACAATGCCCATCAAAAATCTATTCCGCAACTGCAGCTACTATTGGGGCTTTGCTGCCTATGTGGCATACTATGTGAACCATCCACTCTTTACATCTCCTGCCATGTCTCAGGTTTGATTCATGGGCAAATGACCAAGTTCAACAATGAATTCATTATATGTTGGCTCTGTTATGGGTATTTTCAATTGTTTTCATAGGTGATGCTGTTTTTGGGAACATTCCTGTTCTGTGAGCTTGGAAACCTGAGCATCCACATGGCTCTGAGGGATCTCCGTCCACCAGGCACAAAAGTGCGCAAGATCCCACAGCCAACATTGAATCCTTTCACGTTACTCTTCAATTACGTCTCTTGTCCAAATTACACATACGAATTTGGAGCCTGGCTCTCATTCTCTCTCATGACTCAGTGCTTTCCTGGTGAGTTTTGTTCTCTTCTGCATGCCCTGAGAACATGAACTGAAGATACAAAATTAGGCAAACTCAATACCCTCTGTCATATAGCTCTCCTCTTCACGGCTGCTGGAATGTACCAGATGACACAATGGGCTCTGGGGAAGCAACGTGCTTACAAGAAGGATTTTCCCAACTATCCAAGAGGTCGCACATCCATTCTGCCTTTCATACTTTGATGTGTCATCTCATTTTCCACATTCCTGGGTACTTATTGCTCTCCTTGGTGCCATTTATCGGGAAACAATATAATCTATGTCCATACCTCTATTGCAATTTATGAAAGCCATGGCCAGCATTTAAGACTAACAATGGAATTTCCATGTGTTCAAAATGTGAACAAAATAAAGAAGGTTGGGGTTTGTTTTGTTGCAAGTTGGAAAAAGCTTTTATTGCAGAAACTGTTGATCTGACAGGCATCTGACATTAATCAACATATGAAATATTATTTTTTCAATTGGAACTTCCCTGGAAAAGTTATAGATGACTACATGCCATTTCATCCAATCTGAGTCTGAGCCTAAGCATTCATCAGATGTGTGGCAGCTGCACCAGGGTTGAGAAGGAAAAATACTCCCTAACTACAGACTCTGGAATAGTAAGCAGCACAATTAGAGAATTATCTTCCAATCCATTGCAGATTTACCTGTTTTAAATGTAAATGCAATTTAGCTTATATATTATGCATTGGAAGATCCACTTCAGAATGATCCCAATGGTTCAATGGGCCAAAGCCTGCCTTGACCATGTGGCAATTTTGAGAAATGAAAAGATTCATCAAAGTAGAATAATTTAACCCAGGTGACTAGAGAGCTGTGGTTCAATGTCTCTTCAGGAGAGTTTCAAGGAGGACTAAAATAAAACTAGAGAGGAAATGTTCTCATCATGCATGGCATGTACCCAGAAATTATCATGGATACCCAATGTTTTCTACCTAAGAAGTTTCTCCAGTATTCACAACCATCTGTAACTTTTGCAATATAAGAACAAAGAATGAAAATCTCAGGCACAATGCTTTATTTCTCCTTCCAGAAGATTCTGAAGTGAATAGTCTCATGCATTTTGCAGCCCACTTTATCTCTTGGACAGGCTCTATTGGAGATTGTTCTTCTTCTCAGCCTCCATCAGATCCTAGAAGAAAGATAGACAAACTCAGAGCCAATATCATTCCTGAGCAAAATAATGTCAATGTAATTTATGCCCCACAAATAGTGTGGCATAAAAAGTGAGACAATTTAATTACTTTTTTCATAATTGGGAGGATTTCTTCAATATCCAGTGGAAGATGCATTACCCCATATTATCCAGAGGCAATGTTGAATTGAGGCAATTCATGAACTAAGTTATCCAAACACTTGGTTCACAGGAACAGGAACATTCAGCAGGTATTTTGCACAATATTCTCTTATGGCCTCGCCCATCTTTCACTAATCTCGCCACTGCAGTGGTGTGGATAGTAAAAGGAGCACTGGTATCAGTGATTTTATTCAGAGTGGCCCACTTTTCCAGTTTAAGAACATCAGAATAGAAGGAGAACTCATTCATTTCCCCCCATTCGAAAGCTTTGCCATTGCATTTGTCATCTTTCATCAATAGAGCAGATGACCTGTGGGGAAGGAAAAATCTATAAGAAACTAATGGCTTGCAAAAAATTGAGTACAATTAATGCCTTGAAGATAAAAATATTGGCAAGAGTAGGAGGATTGTGACACCATGAATCAAAGAACAAGTGAGGCCTCTGGTTCATGCAGTCCCTCTCAGCTCTTGTTCATTTATAGCCATTTTAAGGTGAAACATGGACATTACAAAAACAACTGTGGCAAAGCTGCCTAAATTTTCTTCTGCAACAGCTATGACTAGGAGAATCCAAAACCATTTGAAACATGTGAATTTATTGACATATTGAAACCACCAGCTTCTCTTGTACAATTAGCATTCATATACAAATGTCAAGATTCTCTGAGTTGCTGTCTCATCTTTAAAAAATTCTGCCTGTATCATGTACTTATGTTACAATTCACTAATCAAAGCCCCACTCCCATTCACAATAAATTGATGGATTCTGCAGGGAAATTTTCATACAAATCTGGAGGACCTCACCAACATCGATGTGTGGGGTCATTCCTTTACCAGAAGTACAGAATCTTCACCATGCTTTTGAAGTTCATGCAGATTCTATGAAGGTGCCCAAGAGCAGCTTACCCAAAGTGTAACTTTGGGTATGCAAAATCTGGTACAACCACAAACCCCACAGAAGGGAATCACACTCACCAGCACAGCTTCCCGCAGCCGTCTGGGCTGCCCAACAACCGTGGCCAAGGATGAGATGCGCTTCCACATTCGCATCATCTCTCTCTTCTCCTCTTCCCGTGCTCGTTCCGCTTCCATCATGGCCACTCCCAACTTCCCCTTTGTTGATTCCAGTGCCATCTTGTTTCTGTGCATTGAATTGTGCATCACCACTATGTCCCCCTCCAGCTGAAGCCAGAATATTGAGGCATCTTTTAAGTTCTCCTCAAGATCTGGCAGAGGAGAGCCCACTTAACATCATACATACTGGCAATAGTGGACACATTAAGAGTTACAACCTAGGAGGATATCATATATGATTGTTTGGCAGTCCTTGTATTTTTTTGAAGTCAAAAAGTAAACAAGTTACAAAACTTAAATTGAATCTTCCACTCCATGTAATATCCTTGTTCATCACTCTTACTCAGCCTCTTATTGATGCAACTTTTGCTTCATCGTTGTAAAAGAGATAATTGGACACTATAAACACAGTGAAAATCATCACATACCATGCTGATTGCCATTTCATAGTATAAAGATCACAAAAGTGACAGGACTGAAACTACAGAAAAAATGTCAACTCCATCACGCATAGGCATATAGAATTATATAATAACATAATAATGGAATTATAACACTCTGAACAGAACTTCTATGGATTTTCAACAGGAAGGCTTAGGAGAGGGGAAAGAAAACCGAAGTGGCATGCTTTAAGAGAAAAAGGTGAAGGAGCACAATGAGGCTTCATTGGTGAGGCAATTTTTTTAGAACTTTCTGGAATGAGGGGGGGTTTGATGAGCTCTGTCGAGGATAGGGGACACAATAGTTCCTCCTTCACAGTGTGGAGGAGTAATACATGAATCATGTAATGGCTGAAGAAAATGTTTTTTTTATTTATTATTAGGTAGTGATTCAGTTTGATTTTTTACATACAAGAAGTGGTTCCAAGATTTTTAGAATACCTTCAGTTGATAAGGCTTTGATATTTTAAAAGGTGGAGCAGGTGGATCAACTGGAACTTTGTGAATGATATGCATATTGCTAAATAGAACATTTACTTTTTACTAAGTGACCACAAGACTAAATGATTTTCCTTCTGTCTCCAACTTTGGCAGGTAAAGAGTTTAGAGCTTTGGAATGACAATGCATGGGTGCAGGATGTACAGAAATATGGTCAGTAGCTAAAACGAGGTGAGGAAACAGTTATCCAGGACGAGTAGGGTAGCTTGGAGTTTTTAGCGGTCAGGGTGGAGAGTGGTGGGTGAGTGGATTGGCAACAGCATAAACCTGATAACTGGAAGGTGGAAAGTTGCAAGGGTTGCAGTTTGTGGTAACAAACTTCGCAACCAGGAAGAAAACCCCCCCCCCAGGTAGGTACCAGAAGGAAGTCTAAGTGGGGTTCTGAACCCCCAAACCCCACTTCCTTGGAGGCACTCCAACTTAAAAGCGTGAGCCAAGTGTAGAAAGTGTAATGGGGTTCTCTAAACCTGCAGGGTGAGTTTTTTTTTTTAACTAGATAGGAGTAGGTCAGCAGACAATTTTGCGCCAAAAGACAGGCTAAGTGACTCCACCACTCAGTCTTGGCCTCAACCTCACTCTAGCATACATTTGAATCTGCCCCTCACTTTGTCGTTTCGCTCCCGAAGCCTCCCAATCTCCAGATCCTTGGGTGGGATGGCAGCCGCCAGCTCCTCCGCCTTGTGCCTCGCGATCTCCCTCTCCTTCTCCGCCTCCAGGCAGCGCTTCCGCAGCATCCCCACCTCCGATTCCTGGCGATCCGGGGGTCTTCGTGACGTCACTGTCGCATCATCTATCCTACCCTAGGCTTACGACGCCCGGCCAGGACGGCGAACACTAATTGCACCATAGATGACGTCACGTCGAACCGCGAACGCGCCCTGTCTCGACCAGATCTCGAGTCCGTGCTCTTAATGGGAAAGTCGGATGGAATTCATGCTTTTTCGGATTCCACAGCCTCGAAAAGCACGAATTTCGAAGTAAAACTCAATCTTTTCAAGTAACTCACAAACACGAAATCAGAAGAAAAGAAAACACGCCGAGAACCGGAGCAAATCCGAATCCGCGATACCAATTTCCGTATGGTATCCTCGCGAGTCTGGATCTCCTGGCGAAGCGCGGCGGCCGTCCTCTCCATCTCCCCGTTGATCCTCTCGCTCCTCTCGAAGAGGACCCGCCACTTCTGCGACTCCCCCTCAAGCTTCCCTGACGTCTTCTCCAGTCTAAGGAATCCCAAACATTAGATTACACTTAATTCTTAATTTATTTAAAGCTATTTCATTTTATTTCAGTTATAATTCGCTTCATTAATTTATTCAAAATATTTTTCAGTCGTTATTTCGCAAGAATGAGACGGACTGAGCCAATTTCTTGTGCGTCTCCGCGAGGTTCCCCTCGAGCCGCTCGATGGCATCCGCCCTGAGGAGCAGCTTCTCGCCGAACCGCGCCCTGAGCAGCGTGATCTCCCGGTCCGCCTCCTCCTCCATCTGCGCCCGCCACTCCCGCTCCTCGGCCCGCTCCACCTCGCGCTCCGCCTTCATCTGCGCCGAAATTCCTTTTCTTTATTATCACGGAGTGAGTCTGTCTGCGGCTGGCACCTTTTTAATCCACCGAGTGAAACGCTTCTTCGAAATGCCGCGTCGATTTGAGGAGCTCGATGGTTTATTCGCGAGAACGCCCAAAATCAAAGACCTTGCTTTCCACCTTCGTTCTCGACACAGAGGGACCTGCATGCCCTTTGCCCTTCATTCGTGTCGAGGACTTCACGACCTTTTCCATCTGAAAGAAATGCTGCCGGTTGCACGCGCCATTCTGCAGCGCTTGCTTGAAATTCGGCGAGCGATCTGGCCACAAGTCCTGAACCTGGTCATCATACCGACCGGTTTCCACCCCATTACCGTTCGTGGCACACTCGTGGCTTCGAGCAATCCCTGGAGGGGCCACGAAGAGAAAGGAAATTATCCCTTATAAGGCATTAGGGCATCGATATATTCTAAATCATGCTTCCATTTTCAAAGTTTAAAATATAGGGGGAGTGGGTAGGGTGGGATGGGGCATCCCCCGCAAGG